TCCGCTCCGGCTCCCGCTCCGGCCCCGCGACGGAGGCGAGAGCGCGCGGGCTGGCCAGCGCGCGCCCCCGATTAAAGGGGCCGCCGGGCGCCGCGCTCCCCGCCCCCTCCTCCAGGTTGGCCCAACCTGGCTCCTTACTCTCTCCGCGTGGGAGGGGACTTTCATCCTCTGTCACCCTGCCCCACCCTTCGCCTCCCAGAGTCTCGTAGGTTCGTCTGGTTCCCCGTGTCCTAAACTAAACTCAGATTCCCCTAAGCCATGCCTTCTTCAAACTGCCTTCTCCTGGACAGCCAACAACCCCTAGCCCCGTGCTCTCTCCTGACCTCTCCCCAGTTTAGTCCCCAAATGATTATTTGATTGCCCAGTCCCGCCCCCGTGGCAGCCACCCTCATCTGTGTCCATCTCCGAGCTGCCAGCGTTCCAGATCCGATGCTCTCTGAGAAGTACCCACAGAGGCATAGAGAGGGCAAGCCACTTGCTCTGGGTCACAGACACGAAGGGGGCAGAACCTTCACCCAAACTGCTATACCCTGCTGCCCGACCCTGACCTGTCACTGCTTAGCAAGGTGTGAAACTGGGTTGCTGTAAGACAGAGAGGTGATGGTGTGAGACATTCAGGAGCATGGACTCTGAAATAAGGTGCCTGGGTTCAAATCTCAGCCTTGCCTTTGCTTGCCACTTGCCCACCATAAGTCCTTGGCCATCATTCAGCCCTGGATCTCCTAGTCCAGTCCCTCTTTATGCTGGCATCTATCCTATGGTTTCCCAGTGATCCTATGGTTTCCCTTTCCCTAGAAAGGCTTTCCAGAGTAAATCCAAGCCCCTCGTCTTGATTTTCTTGATTAGACTCCAACAAACATTTCTAGCTTCATCCACCCCCTCCACTGCAGAAAATTTGGGGCTGCTCAAAATACCATTGTTTTAAAACCTTGTAAGCCAAGGGGCTAAACAGGAAATACGAATGAGTGAAACACGTTTAGGGGAGAGCATGGACTCTATGAAGAAGGGGTCTCAGCTATTGGGTCAGTTAGATTTAGGTCTGCTGCCAGTTTTTTTTTTTTTTTTTTTTTTGAGAGAAGGCTAAAATGCAATTAAAACAAACTGATTTGTAACAGTAGGTAATTGACTCAAACATTTAAAACATAACATGGATGAAAGAAAAAAACCTATGGGCCTGATTTAGCCCTGATCTGCCACTCCTGCCTTGAGTCTGCATGTACACTGTCCCCTGTGCCCACCACACCAGGAGCCCCACAAGGGCAGGCCCACGTATGACTCACTCTAAGTCCCAGCATGGCCTAGGTATTTGCTGAGTGAAAATGATCCCATATCTGCCATTTGCCCTCCTTTAGGCCTTGCATGTGCTGTTTCCCTTGCCTGAAATGTTATTTTCCTCCTCAAGTAGCAAGTTTCTACCAATCTTGAAAAACACAGGGTCTGTGTCAGTCCCTCTATGACGACTTCCCTCATTACTGGGGCAGAGTCATCACTTCCTCTTTGGACATCCCCAGCGCCTGCACTTCTCTGGTTCTCCTAGATGTAACCACTGGAGCTGGGATTGTGTGTGATGACCACCGGACTGAAAGTCTCATGAGGACAGGGCCTTGATCTCACTCATTCTGGTGCCCCAGCATCGCCAAAGCTGAGTCAGGCACACAGCTGGCCACAGTGGATATATGTGTTGGATTAACTGAAGCCCCAAGTTTACCCATCCTGCTGACCTCTCAGGACCTAGGAAGGTGACAAATGATAATATCTTCCCTTCTAACTTGAACCTAGAATTCAGAGCTAAGGAAAGTTGCTCTTCTGGGTCAGTGACTCATTGAAAACCAAGAGGACCATGAAGGTTCTTTATTAAGGTAACCAGGAGTACAGGACACCTAACCCCAGCCTTAGCCTCAGTCCCCCCTCAGTATAGTCTCATAGGTGGAAAGGACCAGGCTTCTGGACTGCTCTGAGCCACAACCCAGGAGAGGTTGGGCAGTGGGGAAGCAGGCCTGGGGCTCCAATCCAGGACAGAGGTTTGGGACAACAAAGGTGATGGAAGCTGAGGCAGGGACTGAGTTGGGCCATGCCCCCAGGGCCAGGGAGGGGGTGGTGTGGCTACCAGCCAGATGCTTTTCAGCAAGTCAAAGGCTGTTGGGGGTCCCCAGGCTGCCCCACATGGCGAAGGCAATGAAGACAAGGGAGGTGGCCAGAGACCTCTTGGCGGTGCCAGGCTCACCCTGTGCGCAGTGGAAATGCTGGAGGTGTGAGGTATGGAAAAGGTGAGCTCCTTTGTCCCATGTCGCTTCCTCTGCCTCCCCTCCACTGAGACCTGTTCAGAGCTGTTGATCCAGGAGGGTGTCATTGTTTTTCTCTCAGGGCCCCCAGGCTTGGCCTCTGGCATAGAAGAAAGAAACAGCTGAGCTAAAGCAGACAAGGGAAAGGGGAGTGCAGGGGCAGGAGGTGGGCTCACCTGGCAAGGGCGACTGGCAGCCCTGCAGCACCAAGGTAAGGTCAGGAACACAGCCATGGCGGGCCTGTAAGGTGCCCACAATGGCATCCCTGGCCTCTTGCACCAGGTTCCTCCTGGGGAAGGCAGGTGGCAGAATCAGCTGGCACTGCAGCTCCTCCAGCAGCTGCCCCACACCAGGGAGCTGTGGGGAACTGGGTGGGCCTGGGCCCGAGCCTCCAGGCACCTCCTGGTTCTCCTTGCCCCTAGACTCTTGGGCTCTGTCTGAGTTTGGGGAGGGCTTGGTAGAGAGTAGGGGGCTGCCTGGTTCCAGGATGCCACTGCTAAGCAGCCGTGCCACATCCAGGGATTTCACCTCGTGGTTGAAAAGACCCCGGTGCTCCCTGCTCAGCCGGCCCTGGGTTATGACCACAAGTTTGGGGGCAGTAGAGGCCACAGGATCCCGTAGGGCCACAAGAGGATCCCGACGGGCCACGGGATGATCCTGATGGGCTGATGGTCGGCGAGTGCCCACCAAGGCCTCATTCCGTTCCTTCCTAGTCTTCCGACGGCGAACACGACCAGGTTTCTCAGGCCGCTGGAAAGGATGGGGGGCTGGTCCCCGGGGGTCCATGGCACCCTGGAAGATAAAGACAGCATGGTCATCGGCATGCAGCTAAGTCAGAGAGAGTAGCAAAATGAGTAGGGAGAAAAGATGGCTTGGAGTGAAGTGGGAATACTATGAAAGAAAGAGAGTGGGCAGAGACCAATTGGAAAAGACTTGGTCAGAAGAGTCATAGGAGTGGAAAGAGGACAAAGTTGTCACGATTAATGGGAGGAGATAAAGGATTATTGGGAACAGGGACCTGGGGAAATAGTTAAAAGATGGAGGATGCCAGCTCTACAGGAGACGCTTAAGAAGGTTACAAAAAAAAGATGGGGATGGGGTCATGAGGTTGGAGAGATCTGAGGGACCAGAAAGGGATTCTGGACACGGAGAAATCCAGGGGTAGAAGAGATACGGGATGTAGAAAGTGGAGAAAGATGGTAGAGAAAGTCAGGAAAGAAAAGTTTCCAGAGGCTGGGAAAGCCTTAGGAGAATAGAAAGTGAGACAGAGGAGCTATCAGGGATGAGGGTCCTGGTCGTGAGGAGAGGCCTAGGGCAGAACAAGAAGCAGGGTGGGGCAGTTGAGGTAGGACATGGGGAGCAGAGCGAAGGGGATGGGGTACGGTTGGTGGGGGCAGGGCACCTCACCCTCTCCTGTCCCAACGAATCCTGCCCCCCTCCCACCCCACGTGGCTATGGACGCAATGGCTTCTTTTCTGCGGCGACCTCAGCCCTCGAAGCCGCCTGACGCTCAGGCACATCACACGCATGCGCCTTCCACGCTCCTTGGCTTCCGGTCTCTTAAAAGAGGACTGAGACCCAGAGCCACGAGCCTGGGACCCGAGTGCCGGTTATAGCCCCGCCCCTCTCAGCCTCACTTTCAGAAACCTCCCTCGTTGGAGCTTAGCACCTTCCATCTACCAATTGGCTATGAGGTTTACTGGGTCCGCCCCCTTCCTGGACGCTGATTGGTTTAGACAGGTTATGGCGGGTGTTTGTCTGGAGGGCAAGATGAGGCCAGGCGCGAGAGAGAGAGAAGGGTCATGGTAGCCCCTATGACCAGCCAGGCCCCAGGCAGTCACAGACTACATCCTAGAGAACAAGTAAAATGTCATGATTCAAAGCTAGACTTAGTTCAAATGCCCACACTGGTAAATAACTGGTCAGAAGCAGTTCCTAATCTGTAAAATGGGATTGGTAATAGTACCTCCCTCATTTGGTTGCTAGAAGGATGATATGAACCAATACATCTAACTTGAAACAGTGCGTGGTGAATTAATGAATGCCTGGAAGCTTTGTTTCTCACTGAGCTTTGCTTCAAAAACTACTCCTCTATCTCTACTTATCTATCTACACTTGTTCCCTCGTATTTTTAAATTTGTATTATTTGTTTTTGAGACGGGGTCTCATTTCTGTCGCCCAGGCTGGGGTGCAGTGGTGTGATTATGGTTCACAGCAGCCTCAAATTCCTAGGCTCAAGTCATCCTCCTGCCTCAGTCTCCCTGGTAGTTACGACTACAGACGTGCTCCACCACGCATGATTAATTTTTGCTACGTTGCCCAGACTGCTCTCGAACTCCTGGGCTCAAGTGATTCTCCAGCCTTGGCTTCCCAAAGTGCTAGGATTACAGGCGTGAGTCATCATACCCAGCCTACTTTCTTTACTTTTTTCTCCTTTATCACATCACTGACCGGAATGCATGAGTATGTCTTAAGAGTATACACACACACACACACACACACACACACACACACACAGAATGAGGCGGTCTCACTATGTTGTCAAGGCTGATTTCAAACTCCTGGACTCAAGCAATCCTCCCTTCTTGATCTCCCCAGTAGCTGAAACTACAAGCACATACCACCATGACTGGCTCCCCCCAGGCTTCTTTCATTATCTTTTAAACCGAGCACAGATACTACTTCTAGGAAACCCCTAGTGTCCTTCTCCCCTAGAGATCACCCTGTAACTCCCACAATCACAACTTTGATGCCCTCACTACTCTATATCTCAATCTGTCTCCCTGAACACACTGGATAAGGCCAGGATCTAAACCGTTCACTTAGTATTCATTCAGCAAGTACTTGTTGAGCAGTCACTATGTGCCAAGGGCCCTGTTCCAAGGAAGTGGATTGAAGCAGAACATAAACACAATAAATAAGACTTATGTCTGACCGGGCATGGTGGCCCAAGCCTGTAATCCCAGCACTTTGGGAGGCCAAGGTGAGAGAATTGCCTGAGCCCAGGGGTTCAAGACCAGCCTGGGCAACTTGGTGACCTCGTCTCTACAATAAATCAAAAAACAAGCTGAGCGTGGTAGCACGTGCCTGTAGTTCTGGCTACTTGGAAGGCTAAGGGGAAGGATCGCTGGATCCCAGCAGGTCGACGCTGGGGTGGCATGAGCGTGCCACTGCACTCCCTCCTGGGCAATGGAGTGAGACACCAACTCAAAAATAAATAAAAAAATAAATAAGAAGACTCATCTCCATGTCTCAATATCAATCTACCTAGAAGGAATGAATAGATGGGAAGGTCCAACCTGGGAGTGGGGCTACAGGGACATGACCAGGATGTTTAGGGGGCCGTGAGACTCCCACCTGGTCCCAGGGAACAGGGAGATTTGAGAATTTGAGGTCTGAGATTAATTTGGGGCAGGGAAGGCGAGGGACGCGACCCTAGGTGGCCTTGGCAGTGGATGAAGGTTTCAGAGCTCAGACACACCCCACTGAAGTTGTTGGTCGGCCTGTGGGTTTAGAGAGGGGAGCAGAGGCCACAGATCTGCAAGATGATCTGCGGTAGGGGCACCAGGCTGGACCTGGGCCCGGCAGACGTCTCTAATTTCCTTTCTCTTTTTGCACCTTCTTTACCCTCCATGCAGGTCCTGCGTTGTTTTGAACGCAAAGAATGTAGTTTAGATTTTATGCTTCCCCCATACTGGTGTCTCCAGCAGGGACGCCCACAAGCAGACAGGCTCACTAAAGCCCTAGCGCTGCCTTTGAGTGTCTCCTTAGAACTAAGCCTCTAATTTTTACATTTTGGTATCTTCCCTTTCTGTCCCCCGCATCAGTAGAAAATGGGAGCGTCCCCTCCTAGCCAGGTGCGTTCGAGCCACCCCTCTCAAGGGATCCACGAATGGACTCGTCCACTCTTTCCCCTCCCCGCCACCACGTGAATGGGGCAACCCCCTCCAACAGTTGGTGGTCCCTTCCGCACATTTCTGGCTCTACGGCAAATGGCTTTCTTCTCCCGAGAAAGAGGGCTAGGCTTTCCCCGCCCACTTTCGGCTTTTCGGGTAGTTCGCCCCTCCCCATGACCCCAGTGGGTGGTGTCGCCCTCCTCCCCGCCGCGGGGGCTGGACGGTCTCGCCTCCTCTCTCCCCGCTTCCCTCTGCTCCCCCCCCGCGTGTCGGGGTGCGCCAGCGGTCGCCGCCGCCCGTGAGTCCGTGGCCCCGGCGGGAAGCGCCGGACGAGCCCACTGAGCGGCCGCCGCGGGGGAGCGAGGGTTCCAAACTCCACCTCCTCCCTAAGTGAAGGTTTCCGTCCCTGGAGAGGAGGCGGTGCCCCAAATCAGCCTTCGTCTCCTGCCGGAGTGGGAACGTCGGGACGGTCCTTTGTTGCCGCGAGGAGTAGGAGTGGGCGTGGCGGAGCCGCCTCCTCCCGGAGCTCTCCCAGGCCTGCCTCGCCGGCTCATCCTGCAGGAGCCACGGCGCCAAAATGAGCGAGGGGAACCCAGCCAGCCGGCCCACGCCGGTGCAGGACGTGCAGGGCGACGGGCGCTGGATGTCTCTGGTGGGCGATCCTGCCTGGGCTACTCAAGGTTTCGAGGGGCGTGGGGAGGCCCTTGTGCCTCTCACTGCGACTGGGAAACTGAGGGCATTTGGGGTGGTGCTGCCGAAGGGGGCAGGGCGGGGCGGGCCCGGGAGCCCGCGTGCCTGTGACTCCCTCTCGCGACTCCTTGCAGCACCATCGGTTCGTGGCAGACAGCAAAGACAAGGAGCCCGAAGTCGTCTTCATCGGGGACTCCTTGGTCCAGCTAATGCACCAGTGCGAGGTGAGGCCGGTCCCTCTCCTACTGCCCCGGCCTGTGCCCTTACTGCCACATCTGGACCAGATGGGGCGTGGAGTACCGAAAATGGCCTCAGGTAGCCCTGGGCACCCTTCTCAGGGCAAGGTGCAACATTCTGTTGAGAAGGATATATTTGCACTGACTTTGTCAGATTGGATTTGTATACACTAAGACTTAACATCAGGCTTTCCTGCCAGAAGATTGCCTAAGGTGAGGTCTTTATTGTTTGCTTTAAAGGGGTGCATAGCCCTGTTGGGTTTACACAAAGCTATAATTTGTTTTACACAAAGTGAAGGTCAACTGTACAGTAATGGCGCTTCACGAAGAGGACTCAGTCATAATACCCGCTAAGTGATGTTCAGCTGTAATGGCTTTCCTCAAAATAAGTTAAATCTGTAATGCTGTTGGTCCAATACATGGCTCAAGCAAACTGGGCTTCCATAAAGTGAGTCTTGCTTCTATGGGGTTTCGTTTAAGGAGAAATAATAATAATATTTCCATGAAGTGAGGTTCAGCTGCACTGGGGTTTGCTCCAGGTGAGATTTAACCAGACTGCTGGCATAAAACAAGGCTCTAACGGTAATGGCATTTGGTTAAAACCTGGACTAAGTATGGCGGTCCATGCCGACAGTGCTCCTGTGCTGGTACCGCTCTTGTTCACAGATCTGGCGGGAACTCTTCTCTCCTCTGCACGCACTTAACTTTGGCATTGGTGGTGACAGCACACAGCATGTATTATGGCGGCTGGAGAATGGGGAGCTGGAACACATCCGGCCCAAGGTGAGTGGGGTTTAGGTGGGGCTCTAAAGCACCTTCTAACTGTGCCCTCGCCGCTGCTTCATGCTCCTCTTTCCACAGATTGTGGTGGTCTGGGTAGGCACCAATAACCACGGACACACAGCAGAGCAGGTGACTGGTGGCATCAAGGCCATTGTGCAACTGGTGAACCAGCGGCAGCCCCAGGCCCGGGTCGTGGTGCTGGTAAGAGGCTGGAGGGCAGGAAAGGAAGAATGGCAATGGTCTGGGACTCCCTCAGATGTAGCCACAGTTGGCACAGTTCAGGTCAACTTGGCATACAGCTATGGCTTTCAGGCAGAATCTCACGTTGAAGCTTGCTATACCCTTCAGAATGACTGTGGTCAGGGACCACATGTTTGGGGACCAGTTAGCCACTTTTGCCTAAGGGACTGTTAGAGATTTTGTGGGTGTTGAAAAACTCAAGTCTGGCACATTGGCTCATGCCTGTAATCCCAGCACTTTGGGAGGCAGAGGTGAGAGGATTGTCTGAGTCCAGGGGT